TATGCCCCTAGAAACTGATGGAAATGAAAAGTTTAATTCAACAAATTCAACAAAAACTTCTGTATCAGCCTTTGTGAGAGCTGCCTGAAACCATTTGTCGGGACTAGGGCTCAGATCTGTGCCTTGTTTACTTTTACAGCCCCTTGTGCCAATACTTTCATCCAGTATTTATGCATTTTTGATTCTCCTGACTCAAAAAAATAAACCCCAACAAAAAAATAAAAAGTTACTCTTGTTACTCAAACTATTCCTTGTCACCAAGCAGACTTTCTTACATAATGTTTTCTTTCTTTGGGTGTGATGAAAGAATGATGATTTTTTAAAAAGTTCTGCTGACTTATTTTTGAGTAAATAACTTGATTTTTGTAAAATTGCCATGATTCTAGAGAGCTGGCTCCTGCTGAACATGGAGCAGGCAGTGACTGCTCAGCAAGGTTCAGCAGGGCTGTTTAATGAGGGGTGAAGACAATACAAATGCAAATCCAGGGAACAGTTGCTTTTTCACAGTTGGGAGGCTGTGTTGCAGGTGCATTTTCTTAATGAAGGTTAATTTGTCTCATATTTTAACCTGACAGTACTTGGCATTGTTAGTATATGGGCTTGCTTAAAGAGGTGAAGGGAAGCTTTTCTTAGGTGAGGTTGGGATTTTGATTTCAAGTGTGCTGAATATTAGCTGGAGTTATTCAGGAAAGTCCTATTAGATTTTCATGAGAGAAAGGGCCTTTTGATTATTTTGACAGATTGGCACAAGGCCAAAACCAGCTCTTTTCCTTGGATATAAATCCTGAAAGGCTGAGATAAAATGGAATAGATTGGTGCTGATCAAGATTTACTGAAGGAGAACCAGAGGCAGGCTTGAGTACCACAGCAAGCAATAAAAAGGCCTTGGACACCTTCTGTCACATTAAACCCAGAGTAAGAGCCACTGGCCTGGCTCAAGCTGGTCAAAATCACCTTATAAAGTTTACTGTGTAACTGTGGAAAAAAAAAAGAGAAAAATTACCCTGCACTGGCAGAAGTAAAAGCTTTTCTGCAGTTGCTTATTAAGCATCATGTGTAAATTATCCATTGTTATCCTACTGTACCTCAAAGCCTTTTAAATCTCTCATGCCTCTTGTATCGACTTGTTTTCGTCCAGTATGAGATCTCATGAATGCTGGATGCTGAAGGACTGGCTTAGAAATCAATTCCAGCTTCTGAAATATTACCTCTATGCCAGTGACTTCTGCTTCAGGGAATCTAGTTCAATATCCTATCTTACACCCATACAGATGACTCCCTTACCTTTCTTATTTCTGGAACATGCAAAGGGATATTTCTACTGTTGTAAAGTAAATAACACCAGAAATCCATGTGTGAAAAGGGCTTGTGGTATCTCTGGCAATGGTCAAAGGAATTTGGAGTTTTTCCCCTCTCACTTGAGATGTGATCCCAGGGGATAATGACTGAAAGAACAATTTCCATGATATTTATACAATAAACCAATGACTTTAGTTCAGTCCTTTATAGATTGTCAGGGAAGAAAAAGCAGCATAATCTGGCATCTGAGTTGAAAGTCTCAGTGAGATGTTTTGCATCCATTGGCATTTTCATCTTGCTGCTCTTGCACAGATACAGAATTGGTAAAAGGATTTCTCTATTAAAAAGATGCTTATCTCCTTCAGCTGCTGAGTTCACTTTAGGAGTAAGTTTTAATAAGGAATTGCCTGTATAATAGAATAAAGTCAGATTAGAATCACGTGGGATACCTTTCAGGGGTAGTTTGCTTCATGTTGCTCATAGTGAGGTGCAGTATTTGATCCTTTATAGCAGGATCAAATTGTGGAATTTAGAAACATCTGGATGTTTGCCAAGGGGTGTACTTAATTCATGTGACAGTTTTGTTTTTTAACTTCTCAGAAGCACTTTTGAAAAGGATCTGTTATATCAAGAGTTTGGTTTGATCTACATTGAGTGTGTGTGTTCCATCATTGGGAACTACAGTCAGCTTTTCTTGAGGAATCCTTTGGAGAAGTTGATGTTTAAATTAACAACCCGAATCCTCAGTTATGCAGAAAGAACCAAGACAGTTTCTTGGCATAGTCAGAGAGTCTATGAGAATTGAGGATAAAGGGAGTTTTGATCAGTTGCAAATTGAGGATAAAGGGAGTTTTGATCAGTTGCAGGGATTAAGGCAAAGGAAGCAGTTTAACAAGGTGAGGTTTCAAAAATGTGGGTATTCCAGAGCCTGTTTTTAAAAGAAATTCCTGCTTCCAGAGTTAGAGCTTCTCTCATCTCACTGACTCAGTTCCTGAAACATCCTTGTGGCCACACAAAACTGAAAATTTAAAATGTTTTGAGACAGTGGAGTGTGAAGCTGACTTGCTCTGCAGCAACAATTATTGATCAATCCAAATTTAACTTCAAGCCCACAATAAAGCAGAGCAGCCAGAGAGCAGTGATGTTTTTGCAATATTGGTTGCAGAAGGTCCCTGTGCAGAGCTGTGTCCTCAGGGCTGGAGGGGACACAGGGATGGACCAAGGAGCCTCAGGAGGCACAGCAGCGTGGCTGGACACACAGAAAAGGTGTGGAATGAGGACTCAGCAGCTTTACAGAAGCTGGTTTTGCACTCCTGGGTGCTCTGCTAGGTTAATTTATTTCTGTCTAGTCAGAGCAATGATAGACACAAATCTCGCTTCTGAGCGAAACCAAATAAAATCATTAGTCCCCTGGAGCAGCTGGGGTGCTGACAATACTTTAAAGAAACATATCCATCAAGAGTGGAGCTCAAAAATCAGCTTAGGATGAGGTCCTGGGCAGAATGGTGCTGGACTTCCAAATCAAATACGAATACTCCCGATTTCGAGTAATTGTGTAAGTTTAGGTCCTGGCTGTGAAAAAATAGGTTTATTTCCTTTTTCCTTTACTTTGCAGATGTGAAATTTCACTTTGATGTACCATATCTGTGCTCTTGAAAGGTGTGCTCTTATTGGATCATACTTGATGGGCATAAATTGTTGGTGCTTCAGGTGCTGCTCACAATCTTAATGATTCATGTACCACATTAAGCTACAAATTTGCTTTTTATTTTGATTGAATTTCTAACAAGCTTGCTGGTGAATATTGATTACTTTTAAAATAGTAAATTCCAGAGTATATTTGAGGTGTGGTTAATAGCACATATTCCACACTAGACTGCCATAATGCTCATAATCTGGTTAATTTTGGTTAAAAGCAGAGTTTGTCATTAAGCAAAGTTTTGTCCCTCTGAATGATGCTGTGTTGCTGCTTCCTTCACCTCTCTGTGGGCAGCTCAGGTGTGCCTTGGCAAGCAGTGAGGATGTTACCTGTGATCACACCTGCCTGTTCTCCTGGCTCCATCCCTTACAGAAAGCTCCAGTGCTTTCCTTAACCCTTTTGGGGAAGGCATGGGAGCTCAAAATAAGGAGCTTTGGAAGCTCTCATAAGACCACAGAGGAAATTGTTCACTTGCACATGAAAGTTCCATTTGGAAAATCCAGCTGGCTGGGGCTTGGAGCAGCCTGGCACAGTGGATCCCTGCCTGTGGGATCAGCTTTAAGGTTCCTTCCTACCCAGACCATCCCAGGATTCTGTGACTCTGGAAGCTCTTGGGAAGCAGATTCTGATTTCACTCTTAGCATGGCCCACAGTGGGAGTTGCTTTGGTGGGAAACTCCTGACCAGCTCTTCTCAGGGTGGTGGGAGGTTCTGCCCCAGCCTGGGCACTGCAGTGTGTCTCTTGTTCACCTGCTGAGCTCACAGAAACCCAGGGAGTACCTGCCTGGTGCTCCTCAGGGTGCTCTGCATTTTCACACCTTGCAGAAGGACAACTCTGACACAGCTTCACCTCCCTGAGTGCAGTGGGTGAGACTGAGGCTGTAAATCTCCTGGATGACAGAACATAAAATCTGCATGCATCATCTAATCTCTCCTGCTCTGACTGATAAAAAAGAAGGGTTGCTGGTGGGTAGTAAATTAGGATGCAGCACAAAAGTTTCACCTGCTGGAGGTGATAAATCATTGAAGTGCATCAGGCTTGTAGGATTGTCTTTGTTAATAACAACAGAGAGGATTATCTGCATTGGGGTGGGGAGGAACTTGAGGGAAGGTCAGCACCTGCAGAGCCTTTCCCATGTAAATACCAGCTTCTGCAGATCCTCGTGGGTTATTCTGTCATTTTTGTGGTTACTCTTTTTCATCAGGATATTGCCCAAGAGTTGGGTGGTGTTGCACTCCTTGAACAGCAATGTGAGGGGGCAAAGAAGGGCTGGCTTCACTGGCTGAGGGTGGAGAAGTGGGGTATTTTTGTTTAGATTTCCTAAAATCTGAACACTTTGATTTTCCTAAAATCAAAATCACTGAGCTGTTTAAATGGGTACTTTACCCATACATCTGAGCCTTTGTGATGGAGCTTATTCTGGACATTCTGCTAGATGGTCCTCTTATATATATATAAAAATATATATATTAAAAAGTATAATAAGGTATCTAATAACTATATATAATTAACAATAATTATATATAAATCTTTAACTTTATATCTATTTATATGTATTTTTCTCTAACTTTACTTATATATAATGATTATATGTATAATTAACAATTAGTAATAATATATATAATTAATCTTTGGTTGCAGAAATACATTGAAATATGCTGGTGCCTCTGTTACAACCAGTGTCACCAGTCACGTCCCTGAGCTCTTGCTGTGCCTGCAAATGCCCAAGTGCCTGTTCATGCAGCCACTGTCAAAGGTTGCAGGGCTGACTCTCAGTAGATTTTGTTTCAAATTCTCCCTCTTTGCTATAAAATGGAGCTGTAGGAGTTGTCCTTGCAATTGCCTGGAAATGCTCCTGCAGCAGACTGCTCCTGCTGAGCCCAGGCTGCAGGAGTGAAAGTCAAGCAGGTGGTGAGCGTGCCAGGACATGGAGGATTTATGCAAAAGGTGGATTATGTATTTCATTGAAATTTTAAGCTCTTCCTTCCTTCTCTCCTTTCAGAAGCTGGAAAGATCAGATGGATCCTAAAACTAAGATCTTGACGTGTACAGCTGAAAATCTCTGCTTCAGATCACTGGTGTGCTTTTTGTTGTGTTTATACAAAGGACTTTGTTAAAACCAGAAATTCAGCTTTAGGAGCTGCTGAGGAGGAAATATGTTCTTTGTAAAACAAATAAGTGTGTACAGAGGTTTGTTTGTTAAAGACAGTGTTTTAGGATGCAATTAGAGCACAGCAATTGAGGAGGAGTAACCCAAGCATTTTCCAAAATCTGATAGAGCTTGAGTTGTGCAGAATGAAAGAGCTCTTCTGCATGCTGGTACTCTGTGACTGGAAGAAGCTGCACAGGTTAATGCTTTTTGAGACCCTTCTGAGTTTGCCACTGCTGGCTGAGTTAATTTAGGCCTTGGTTATCAAAGTAGCTCACAGTGCTGACCTGACTGCTCCTGCTGAAGCTGGAGGGGGTTGGAGTGAGGCCAAAGCCAGGTGGTTTCTGGAAACTGCTGGACTCTGGGTGCCTCTACCCAGCCTGGGAAAGGGAAACTCTGCTCTGTGAGAGGCAGGAAACTTGGGATTTTTTGGGTAAAGTATTAGAGAACAGCATTGCTGAAAAGTGATGGTAGGTTCTCTCTTTTCTACAGGAAATATTCCCACTTATTCCAGTGCTGGTGTGCATTGCTGCTCCCAGGACAATTTTTGTGAGTTATTTTAATTGACTCTGGGAGCAGGGGAGTAAATGTTATCAGGTCTTTTGATTTGTTTACTTGCTGAAAGAAAGGCAGACAGAAATTGTGGAAAAGCTGGGCTTTATCCCAGGTGTTGCCTCTTCCAAGCCCCAAAAAGATGTAAATAACCAGCTTGGGAGTATAGAATGAAACCCTGGGCAGCAATATTGCAGTTCTGTGGGGTTTGTGAGTGGTTTGTGGCGAGGAATCAGGCAGCCAATGCATTATGAGGTTTCTTTGTTGCTGCAAAGGGAGAGAAAAAGTGAACCTGCTGATCAGTGAGGGTGAGAGATGCTGGAACTCTGCCTGGAGGTGTCAAGGATGGAGCAGAAGGGTCATCCCATGGGACCTGTGGCTTGGGCCACATCCAAACAGGCTCAGTGAGACAAACATAGTTTGTCAAAAGTGTGGCTGGGGTTCTTGTACCCAAATCTTAACTTAATTTGGGGTTGGCAATGGTGTCCCAGCAAGAGGGTTTCACTTGGGATCACTAGGAAAGGCTCAGATTGCTTTGGGGGCATCTTGCTGCAGAGTAAGCTAAAGATTTTGTCTGTTAACAACATTGCTGGAGAGACTCACAGAAAGCAGAATTTTACATATTCAAAGCAGTGTGTTTGTTTCAATTTTCAGGCATTTCTGCTGCCATTTTTATAAAGATAAACTAATAAATTTTTGGAATTAATCAATATTTCCTTGCAGGTGTACTTGTGTAGAAAGGGAGTGTGAGAGCTAGAAGGAAAGCAAAATTACTTCAGGATCCCATGTATCCTCCCCTTCTGAGCCCCCTTTATTTTTCCATTTCCTTTGGGATGGAAGATGCCTCTTATCTATTGTGGAACGAGGAGAAAGAAATTATCACCTCCAAAAATAATCAGCCAGTGCCTGGTCAGGATGACCCTGTCACTTCTTGTTGATATCATTCCTGAAAAGCCAAAGCAGTGGGAGCCAGGCTGTCCCTGGCAGATGGGTTTGGCTGTGGCACCCAGCTGAATCCTGGCCTTTCCTGACCCTCCTGCCCAGCAGGCACAGGAGCCACTGCCAGGGCAGGGATTTCTCCAGCACAGGCAGCTGGAGGGTTCTTGGCTCTCCTTTGGCAGCTGGAGGGTTCTTGGCTCTCCTTTGGCAGCTGAGATGCCCCAGGGAGGGTTTACAGGGCTGCTCCAGGGTGGTGCTGGCCCCAGAGCTTTGCTTTGCTTTCTGGTTTAAATAGGCTTTGGTGCTGTAGCTGTGCTCTGTGCCTCGTGGCATTATTGCAATGAAATATCTGTCAGCATTTCCAGGAGAAGGTGTTAATTTCAGGCACTTAAAACTCAGCAATAAAAGTTGCTTCGAGCAGGAACGCAAAGTACAAGTGCTTAGCAGTGGTGTTAATATTTATGCCCAGTCTTTCAGAACAGCAGTTTAACAATTTAAGAGATTTCAGCTGAGCTCTCCTCTCTGCACTTCAGAAGGTGGATTTCCTCACTGGCCATATGGGCTCCAGGTGTGTTTTACACTGAGGATGACAATTTGCCTGCAGGGGACACTCATTCCCGAGGCAGCTAAGCATCCAAAATTATTGGTGCCAGCAGCAGTAACCAAAAATTGGGTGTTAAAACTCCTCACAGCTTCCAGCACCACAGGATCTCCCCTTGTGGCTGAGTGAGGATCCTTTGGGAAAAGAATCCAAAGCCACCAACACATGCTGCATGGAATAAATCCCTTGCTATTCCTTTTTTTAACTCCTTTGAGAGTTTGGCTGAGACTTTGAACACATTTGCTTTCTTTGGGAGTTTGCCAAAGGTTTCTGTACTTATTCTTTAGTTTGCATCACATTCTCCAAGTTGTAATGCTGATTGGGTGTCTTTTTATGTCAAAGCTGTAGTTTTTATATTTGAAAAGAAGAAAGTCTATTTTTTTTTATTTCTTGCCATTTTGGAGCAAATGGCAGCAGTCAATCTCTGAGACTGAGTTTGCTGAGCAGAACCTCAGCTGTTCTCAGCACAGCTCTCGAGGTTTAACCCAGCAGAGAAGCTCTGTTGGAGATGCCTTCTCCATCCAAGAGTTTTACAAGCATAAGGGATCTTCCCAACTTGGCCATTATTTCCATATAACAGCAGCAGCTCCTGAATTCCAAACACAGCAAGATTTGGGTGAGGGGATGTTCAGTTACTTCTCACAGCAGCACTATGGTCACAGCTGAGACTGAGGCAGAGAAAGCTCCTAAGTGGTGTCACTGTCCCATTCCCAGCCAGAATTCCAGAACCAGGGATGCTCTGGAAGGTTTCCCTTGGAGCTGCCTGGGCACTAACACTGGCTCAGAGCCCCTGCTCTTGGTGACCTGCTTTGCCTGGACCATCTGGGTGTGTCTTGGCTCTGATTTTCCATTGTAGCTTCCAGCTTTGCAGAGGAACACTTGGGATAACCTCAGAGCATGCAGGAATGTGGGTTTGTAGTCCCATGTCCTGTGTTAGGGAACTCCTGTGGGTGTTTTCTGGTGTTGGTGGCATCACTTGTACAAAGACCTGTGGGGTGTTTGGGATTTTTGGAGCTTGCTCTTACAGCTACATGACCTCTACCAAAACTGGGGCTGGAAAAATATCCTGCAAGCCTGTCTCTTCCAATATTTTCCTGAACTGCTTGGCACACTCCTTTCTCTTTACCCTTTCCATGCAGTAAATCTTGCTCTTGCTGGCAGGCCTGGTAATTGCCTTATGTAGAATGAAAGTCTTCCATTCTCTTTGTTTTTATAGTATGCAGCCTTCCCCAATGAAGTTTAAAAGGACAGAAAAATTCATGGTGTTTGCAATAAGAACATGTTTTATGCTTCCCTGCTGCTGCAGCAGAGACAATACTGCCCTGATATGGAGATGTCAGGGGCACAGGCCTGTATCTGAGGCAGTAAATGTTTCTTTTATTTCTTATTCCCCTTTTTTTCTGGTTGCTATTAATTTTAAACTTTTCTTGGCATTTGCAGCAATAAAAAGGATAAAATCTTGAGGCTTTGTTTTCCTGCTCCTGAACCAAGACTTAAAAGAGACTCAAATGGGACTTGGGCTTATTCTGCTTTCAGAGACAGCTGGGAACTCTTACAAATGCATGTGAGCTCTGGAACACCACTGCCTTGGGGCTGAAGGCATTATCAGCTCCTGATCAACTCCACACAGAACACGTGCAGTGGGGATGAATGGAGACAAATGTCTAAGACCATCATATAAAGAATTAAAATCTATCTTCCAAGCTCTTGTGACTGTGGCCAACTGTGGTGCTGAAGCTGCTTTTGTGGGTTTTAACTGCACCCTGATGTGCAGCAGCTGCAGGATGTGCTCCAGGCTGTGACCTGAAGGTGCAGAGGGCTCTGCTGTGCCTTCTGCTCTCCAGACCATTCTCACTCTCTGTGTTCAGGAGATGGGGGGCACTGTGATAATTCTCTTAAAACTTGTCCTGACTGTGGCAGATCAGCTTCAGAGCACCCAGGGGAAGCAATGACAGGCTTGCTGCTCTTGTGTACATCAGGGCTTTGAAAGCTTTGTGAGCTCAGACTAAGGAATATGTGGGGTTTGGCAGTGCTGTGCAGGGCTGGAAGATAAATTTCAGAAGATAAATTTGTAGGTACCTGCCAGCTGAATTTCCACATAATCACTGGAATTTCCATAACCACTGGGGCACTGACAGGAGGGTTTAGCTGTGTTATTTGGGTCCTAGGCTGGAACAGGTATTGTCATGTTAATGGCAGGCAAGTTCTGCCCTGGCTCACGGTCTGAACAGCCAAGAAATAACAGCTCCTTGCTTGACCCAGTCTGCTGATGGAACTGGGCTTGCTGGAGCAGGAAGGGCTGTGCTCAGTCCTGGTGGGGATGTGAGAGGCTCTGAGAACCCTGCACTGCTCAGGGCTTGCCATGTGAGCCCACTCTGACCTGCGCTGGGGGCACGCTGATAAATGCTGACACTGCCCTCAGGAGTGTGACCAGTTTGGTGTTAATCCCACACCACTCTGTCAAGTTCAGCCCTGTTAATAAATGTTTTATAATTATATAACAGGTAATATATATATCTGTTATATGATTATATGTAATATGATTATATATAGTTCTGTAGTCTTGATGAATGTGAGCAGCTTGGGCTAGTGGAAGGTTCTCTGCTCATGATGAGATGATCTTGAAGGTCCCTTCCAGCCCAAACCATCTTGTGATTTTACTGCCAAAGTTTTCAGGGGACCATTAACCAAGATGCTGCTCCATAATGTCACAGGAAGGAAGATTCCTTCAGAGCATTCCTCTTTCTGAAGTGAGGCTTCCATTATGTTCTGTGTAAATAAGCATGGAAGTGCTCATCCTTTTTTCTGATATTACAACAAAGGGGATTTATATGTGAAATAAATCTTTGTAAATCTTTGCAAGAGTGCCTGAATTATTTATGGGGGTTTTAGTTTGGTTTGCATGCCGTATTGCTCTCTTGTGTTAAACACTTTATTCACCACCCAGCTTTTCACATTAATCACTGCAGGATGTGCTCAGTTATCCCTGCTCAAGAGCCATCTATTACATTCCAGTGGCCACAGCCAAATGGTCTAATTTTTCTGTTGGTTGTTCTATCCAATGGTTCATAAACTCATGGCTGTTATTACAGTAGCAGAGATGTTTTGCTGTATCACATTGATGCATTTGTTGTTTTCATGATTTTGTCACTTTCTTCTCTCCTTTTGTGGAAGAAATCATGATTGAAATGGGGTCTTGTTCACTGAGCTGTGTTCAGCAAGTCCCATCCTGAATTTCTTTGTCTCTTTATGTGTAAATAGGCCCCTGGTATTTCAGCTTAGGCTGTTTTCCAAACCAGGTGATGACTGCTTTTTTGGGAGCATGTCCAAAACCTTACAGACATTGCAACCTTTCCTCATTTTGATTAGGAAAGAGCAATAACCTTGACACATTCACATCTTTTATGGTGTTATTGGCACAGAGTGGGAGATGGATGCAGGTGACCTCAGCTGCCTGGGATGGGCTGCTTTAGAATTGGCTCCAGTCCCTAAATGTGACCTCTGTTGCTGTCATTGAACTGTTCAGTGTCTGTGCAGCTCTTTCTGAGTCTGTAAATGCCTTGTCTGACATTTAGCTGAGTCTTTCTGTGGGTCTCTCAGTGCTGTGGCATCTCCCCTTGCTTCATCACAAACAATAACTGGTGCATTAATTTGTATGTGCACACACATCAGGGCTTTCTTGTGCTTGTGGATATGAATGTGAACTCCTAGGGACGATGAACAGGATGAAGATGTGCAGCCAATGAGGTTTTGGTGTTGTACTTTCCTCACACACAGCTGACAATGCCTTTGAGGCTCTTTTGATCATTCCTTGGGATGCTGAATTCCTCATCTTTGTGAGTCTGAGCTATGGGACCTTAAGGGTAGTGCAGCCTTGTCCTGGTGCCTCTCCTCACCTGCCACACACAGCTCATGTCACATCAGGGCCCTCTCAGCAGTGTAGGGCCTGTCTGATAGCCACAAACACAAATCAAACACAACTTTGGTGGGAATAGCCAAAATGATGCATTAAAAATACATGAGCACAGATGGCTGTAGAGTAAGGAAGTCACAGCTGTTTGCTCTCTTATGATTCTTAGGAGCATGTTTTTAGCTAAGGTGCCTGAACCACCTAAAAACAAGGGAGGGGGAGGCCAGGAAACCTCCTGCCTTTGGGAGAAAAGCACAACAGGAGCCTTGTTCTGCTGTAATTCATGGGGGTGTTGCTCTAATCCGTAAAGCACAACCATGTGTTCACATCCCAAAGGGGCATAATTATT